CTTCCGTCAATATTTACATATCTTCTACATTTAAAATACTTACGATGTATTTTGCTGCCAACTATCATATTGCAGACATTGATGGTTATATTATCGTATGGGTAGTACTCCCTAAGTACAGACGTTTTCAGGTCGCATCAATAGCCGTCTGTGTAACCTAACGACAGTCCTGGTACGACTTCCGGGACCGCCAGCTTTACATGCCCTCCGAAGGATGGTAGTCATGTTCTGTACCACTAAAAACTAGCAAGTGGACGGATTCAAACTCACAAACTGTGAGAGTCCGAGTCTTAAACCATTACGCCAAACTGACTACTTCTTGAATTATATACGCACTTATTTCGGACCCAAGTACATGACGTACAGATTTGTACTTTCTATATACGTTGTTGTCATTTAAAGGCATAGTTTAGCCGTACAGATTTCACGTGAACAACATTCAGGTTAGGGCATACTGTCTTACTGTATAATATATTGGATCCGTATTAGTTTTTGACAAATAATTCTTGACAAGTTTCTAGAGCCACCAACTATAGTGCGTGTAAATGATTCACAAAATGAGCTTTCCCGTATAACCATGCGATATAGGTTTTCGTGAACTGTATAGAATAGTCTGTATGCTATAAAGATTTCTCGATAAAGATCTTAACTGTATATCATATTTAGAGTATAACTAAAGATATTCTTTATAGATGTATGTTTTATTTAATCTATACAGCGATTATACAGCACTATCTGTATATATTTTTCTGAATAGAATATATGCTGTAAATTTATCGCACATATAAAGTATTCTTATATACACAACGACATTTCAGTACAGGTCCTGTACAGGTCATGGGTAAAAACACTTGACTGTTCTGGAAGATATATGCCTACTTTATTAAATCTATATGTATTCTATACGAATAGCTATAATTATCCTCTACTAAATAGGTATTAATTCTTTACGTAATCGATACTATATTTCGCCATTTGTACACAAATCTTTAGTAACGTTGAATTATAGACGGGGTAACTAACTCATTAGTGTAGGAAAATAGGATAGTATAGATTCTGTTCAGTTTCCTTTACTGAATCTGTATAAAAGTTGCCTTTCGGATTTGCGCGTGACAAGCTTAGCGAGGTTATGTCATTTTGTTATTGATAGACAAGTCTCATTTCACGTGTGAAACGAGTGTATAATAATTACAAATTATACCTAGTGCCGAAGGAATATGGAGACGTACACTGTGTACCAGTTTATTGGAACTAGCGACACGTGTGTGTTACCTACAAGTTGGGTTAAAGAAGGGCAGGTAAAGTTTTCGAAAATCCATTATGATATATTAATTTTTTTTTAGTTGTAACTTGAAAGAAATTATAGAGCGTCTGGATGTGACAATTTTGTTTAGTTCATTTAATTAACCGGGGGGGTTATCAATAATTTGAGACACAGGATTGCGTAAATTTCATGTTATAGTTTTGGTTCAATTTCTTAGAAGTGTTCTGTTTTTATTTTATTCCTAGAATTTTTTCGATGTAAATTTCTTTTTAAATTTTATTTGCCGTTAACGAGGTATAGCGCGAAGTAGAGATAAGGTTGTCTTCGCAGAATTGCCGGGCGTACGTGCCGTTTAGCAAGAAGTTGAAAAATCGACGCTTCGCGTGATTGGCGGACGGGGTGTGGAAGAAAGGAGAAGGGCTTTTGGCTTAAATAGAAAATTTTGGAAGAGAGCGGGGCTTTTTGGTCGTTACAAAGCCAACCGGCGCTTCTTCGGTTACGTTATTTTTGAATTTTGTGGAAGTTTCTTGCGTAGTGGATCCAGGTTTAATTAGAATTTTGTGTCTGCCGTTTTAAGAAGAATTTTTGAGAAGTTTAAGAAGTTTGTCGTCGTCCTGTTTTTTTTTATTTTTGCGGAAACACGGAAGTTTTGAATTTGTGGGTACCCGAAGAGAGAAGACGTCGGTGTTTGAGTGGTTGGTTTACGTGATTGTGTACGGATACCTCTTTTTATCGGAATACGTTTTTCGGACTAATTTTAAAAGTAAGTAGTAGTTAGTGGTTTGTTTTGTCTTGTTTTTTTTGTAATGTTTGAGTAATTTGTTTTTTTTTGTGTGTGTCATTTATCTGTTTAAAATTGTAACAATTTGTAAAACAGAAATTTACGCAATTTTTTGTTTGAAATTAAACCAGTCATTGCAATCCAGGTTTTGTTTATTAGAGTCAAGGAGAGGTAATTGTCGGCGTCTCTTACTTTGTTTCAAGTTTATTAAATCTGGGGGTAAAGTTTCATATTGGAATTTAAGGATTTGGTTAAGCCACCTATTCATGTCATTGTTGGAATGCTGTAGGGTGGCAGAATCCAGCTGGACCTTGAGATGCGTGTAAAAATTTGGTTTTTTTTAATTACAACTGAGCTAGCTAGAGGTAAATCGTGGGATTCCCAGAAGTGAAGGTTAGGTCTCACAACAATATCTATATGTGTTTAATTTTTTAAGGTAAAATACGATAGCAAAAAAGCATCTGATTATGCCAAAAAGGGAAAAACACCTTACAAAAAATGGACTAGCTATAAAGTTGAACCAATTTGTACTAAATTGTTCGGTAAAGTAACTATATGTACATCTAATTTCTAACTTACTTTCAAATACGAGTACCTTTGTACATACCCTTGATAAATAAAATTCCTCTTTTGCAGATTCTTATGATGCTGCTTATAGGGCAGAATCTGTTTTATTGGAAAAATCTGACTTAGAATCAACCGACATAGAAGCGATCAACAACCCCACACAGGTATTAGATAAAAAAAGACGAAAAAATAAACGTGTAATTCCAAATTGTACCAGTGCTAGAGATGAAAGTGAGCTATCTTCTAGTGAAAATGAGAGTGCCGTTATTGATCTTAATCTACCCCCTGCTCCTGATACAACACTAATAACTATTAACGAAACTGTATCAACTGAAGATCCAGCGAATTATATTCCCGTATACGTGAATAATAATGAGCCTGAAACGGATTTAGGTAATAATGGCATTTACAAAGAAACACCCTCCGAAACACGCATTGAAACAAACTCAATTGATATAACTGACATCAATGATGTTCCATTGTCATTAGCCACTGAAAGACAAGTTAATGATATAAAAGAACTAATTATTGCACAAAATACCAAAATAGAAAATCTTATAGCACTGGTAAATGATATGTCTAAACAATTTAAATAACTTAAACGGGGTAATGAGAAAAATACTGACGCTAATGTGACAACAGCAACGAGATGGAATTTTCCAATGCAGACCATTGATGATATTAAGAAGCTTGACGAAAGTTTGAAAAGTGGAGATGATGATAGTGTGAAAGAATTTGTAAGTAGTACTTGATACCATTGTGCAGAAACAGAAACTGTTTTTGGGTGTATTACCTTTATAATAGTATATACCTACCTGTATATTTATTACTATTATTTGTTTTCAGAAATGTTTTATTCTTCAACTTGGGGGAACTACTTTAAAAACAACAATTAAATTTATAATCAAAGAACTATATTCTATAGAATTACAACAAAATCTAAATTACTCTGGACGGGAGAATAAGTTTTCTACAAAAGATTTAGTTCAAACAAAATTAATCCTTGGTGAGTAGCCAACATTTAAAATGATGAGCTGTACAAATTAATGTTTTATTTTTTATTTTACAGAAGCAATGCAACACAATACACGTAGAACTCAGGTTGAGGCTATCAACGAATACATGTATCACATGCAGCATGTAACTGATCGGGTTCGAGCTATGATGAAGAAAAATAATAAATAAAAAAAATACATGTATTTTCTTTTAATAAAAATACTTGCCTATAAACGTAGCAAAGTGTGATTTATAGGTACAACAAAAAAATTGTTTGCATCTTCATTAGGAAGGCAGCACATTTTGCATATGATTGGGTCTTTTGTTAATGAAATTATCGAAATTTTATCTTCAAAATGACCAAGGAAGAAATAAAATTGTTTATAAATTTCTGTGTTGATTTTTGAGAACACACTTGAATTTATAAAAATTTGTCCTTCAATCACAATAGTACCATTTTGTTTTTTAAAAAAAATCACCTTAATAACTCTTTTAGTGCTCAACATTACACAATTATCACTTTTCCGATTGGTATGAATTTTAAAATTGTGAAATGATGCTTTTATAAATTTGTTGCCTCCAATAGGATGTGTCAACGTTGGTATATTATGTATTGTTTGCAATTTCCTGATTCTATTTTCACATTCAGAATTAGTCGGATGTATTTGTTTAAATTCACTCATTCTATTGGAGCACTGCTGTAATAGACGATTAAAACTGTGCAGTTTCTTTTTTATTACTTTTATAAAGGCTTCATATAGGTAGCAACTGTTTTCATCTAAAGGACCAAGATATTTTGCATCTTCTGCCAAATGCAAAAGTCCGTGAACATTGTAGGTAGCATTTTGTTTACCATAGAGCGTAATAAAATGTTTAACAAAATATTCCAGAAGTGAATGGGCATATGCATTGTATTTATTATGATATAATGGCGATGTCAATATTCGAATTGCCAGGCTTAAGGACATAAAATGCTCAAATGTTTCTTTAGATAAAACATTTTTTAGCACTATAGGTCCTGTGTAAAGCAATAGAACTCTACATTCTGATGCCTTAAAAAAATGAGCATATTTGAAACTCCTTGGTTTCCGTTGAAAGTCATTAGGAGTATACGAGTAACACTTTTCAAGGTGTTGGTTAATAGCAATAACTCTAGAAGCTTGTAATTTCTGGGTACCTGGTTTACCTAACCATATATTCACTATTTTCTTTACAACGCCTTCATCAACCAAATGCATTTTATCAACAGGAAATGTCTTTATCATATCAATGGGTAGTCGTTGTAAGACACTCCGTTCTTTGTTCATATGATGTCCAATATCATCTTCCCCAGATGGTATAACCTTTCTAGTTCTAAAAGCTTCGTCGGTTCTTTGTTCAGACCGAAGATTGGGATAAACAATTTTAGTTTTATTTCCAGAAGACACTGGTTCCCCCTTGATATAACATTTTGAACAACAGTAGTAGCCACCATGACTTTTAATAGCTTTTACAAAAGCCATGGCTGGAGCATCACATATAATAGCTTTTAACTTAACTGGATAAACTATTTCATTCCACAGAAAACCATTTTCTATTAAATCTTTCATTTCTTCAACAAATTCTGATAAATAATTATTGTAAGATTCGGGTTTTTGCAATCCATTAAATATTCCTACCATAAAGACATCAGGCTGTCCATTAAATACATTTGAGAGGCTACCTAAGATTGGCCAAAAAGTTGCTCCACCGCTTGAGGTGATGGGCGTTCCGTCCATGTTAAACGAAAACTGCAAGTATGGTAATTTTAATCTAAGCATATTGGCTCCAAAGCATTCAAAATGCGTATTGAGATAGTCTTTGATTCCCAAGTGAACATAATATCCATTATCCATACGACGAACGTTTACAGCTCTAGGTGTTCTAAGTAATGTTCTTGCATCCAATGGGAGCTCAACATGATTACCGTCGTATACCAAAATTCGTAATAATTTAGAAATTTCAGTTAATTGAATATTCCCATTTATTGCCCATTCACGTAATTTATCAGAAAACGATTTATCGGTCCGCAAATGTTCATCAATTTCTTCAACGTTTTCATCAGACAATGAACCTGATGTGTCTCCTGAATTAGATGCATACTCATCGTCAATACTTGAATTTTCTTCGAGAATTTCACTTGCTATAGTACCACACTGATCGGCACTGATTACATTTGTTGCTTCTACATCTCGAACCAGTGGTTCTATAAAATAATCTTATTGTATTGAGTATTGGATAGGTTAGGTGTCCATTATAATCTTAGTACCTGTAATTGTCTTGCTTCGACGAGTTTGATATCCTCTCGACGTATCAGTTCGTACTTCTGCCCAACGACGACTATCTTTAGTTTTCGGCATGTCAAAATTAATTGAAAAAATAAATTAACTAGCAATGCTAAGTATATACTATATATAACCGTTTTATAACGTACGACGCAGTGGCTCAGTGGGTAAACGGGCCATCAACAAAAATGCAACTGTATGCGCTCGCAGCGGTCATAGGTTCGAATCCCACCAAGTTCCATCCTTCGCATTACACAAGGTACGGTATGTTAATGTGTTTATATAAAAAGACTTCTATACACTTACTAATACCTACAGTGAACATTGCAAAAGGTATATGCCATGAAATTACGAAGAAATATCCAAAGAACAATCATTTTTTATTTAATTATTGTATTTGCAACTTGTATTCATAAAAATACACTATAGGTACATTTACGAATACATAACTAATACACTACGGGAGTTATTCGCTTGGGTAAATTTTTAATGCAGATAACATAAAGAGAAATATACTCTTAAGTACTGATTTCGATATATCTACCCTGTATAGCGAATGTATAGTCCGTCTGTATTGCTGCGGTGCCGATTTGATAAATTCAACTTTATTCAATCTAAATCCAAAATGTATGGTGGTGATAGAGAATCGATAAATTCTACCTTTATTGTATCTATACCCAGAATGTATTCAAACCCGTATCGTCGCTGTACCAAAAGAATATAGGCAATCTTTATAGACTAACGATTTTATTAAAGATCCGATACAGTTTATATACAGTTTGGTTATACGGGTTAGGACTCTGGGGCTAGATAGTTCAAATATTACGTTGTTTATAAAATGTTGGAAGTTTTTCAGTTATTATACTTACAACACTTATTACATTGAATTGTAGTTATTGTATTTTGTATTGTTATGTGCTAAACCTAAACGTTTTGCGTAATAAATTAAAGTACTTAGATCTAATATATTATATATTGACAGTATTTATTGTAAAATATGTAATACATCAATTTGCCTTTGCCGCTAACCGCTTTGTCTCTTCTTCTTCAGCAATAGACAACTTAATCCTTTATTTTTTATTTTGAAATATAATCAGGTACCTTTAACGTACCAATTTAGAGCTAGAGGGGATATTTAAATTTGGCACTTTATCCGAGCACAACGTTCCCAAATTATCTTGTCATAAACCTCCCCAAATTTAAGTTTTGGATATACAAACAGTACTTTATTTATTTACCAACATAAGACAGATATTTATAAAGGGCCCTTTGTCCCTAGAGTTCGTCATTCAGCTCGGTTAGCTCACTTTATAACTTTAACTTTTCCTAAATGAACAACTCAAGCGTTATCAACGCTAAATCTAATTCATAAAAGTTCGTATATAACAGTTTTTTTCACAACACAATGGAATCACCGTAACGACAGGTTGAACTTCCACAGCATAAACCTAGAGGAACGGTATTAAAATAATTCAGGTGATTTAAAAACAAAAAATGCCCGTACTCACAGAGTCAGTGAAACCCACATATGTATAGCCTCGCAAACGCGAGAATAATGCAGAAACCACCAATCGGGAATCCACAATGACAAAGACTAAAGTTTAAATCACCAGAAATAGTGAAATACTTGGGAATTGCAATTAGAACTTACATAGTTTTCACTTACGCTGTTTAACGTGACGAACTATGGCATGCTTGCCGGAAAAGGAAATTGGCAAAGAATCCATCGGGAGTTGGCGCCAGCTAACTCAATGACAAATGAAATAAATTACGGTGAACATAAAACAAATCCGATTGTTTCTGTAATACTGAAAATAAACTGTCACACCTCTTTCTCTCCCGGCAGCAGGGGCGGTTTTATACATCCACTCAGGGGGGGGGGGGGGGGGCGAAAATAAAAAAGCTAAGTACAGTCGTGAGTCGCAGTCTGGACAATACACGATTCCGCCCCTGCCGGCATTATTTTGTACCTATTTTACTTTTCCGTCAGGTGGTTTGTGGTTAGGTCTATTTAATTCGATTATTATGTAAACCTAATGAAATAAAAAAAAAACAATTGAGCAGTATGTTTAGGGGGGGCGATCGCCCCTGTCGCCCCCCCTAAAAACCGCCCCTGCCCGACAGGAGGGAAACTACCGGTTTTCTCACTATTGAAAACACACACAGTGAAAAATTTAAAATCTTGAAAACCCACCCCCGTATAAAAGTGAAACATTAGGTGGTTGGTTGGTTGGGGATCATTTTCTGGATCGTAGCAATAACATGGGCTAACGAATTTTTCCGATCCATTTCCTCTTTTTCTTTCGCTTTATCTATCTCTACACACTGTCTTCTTTTCCTTCATACAGTGATATTCATAATGTAGAAGTAGACATAGGGATTTTTTATAGGAATTTCCTATGTCTACTTTTACATGATGTCTCCTGAAAGACGCCTACTTTTATGCAACCAAAATAACTTCTTGAAACAAATAAAGATCTGGCTGTCATCATATTAATTATTAATTTGATTTTGAATATTGTTGCTTTAGCTTCACAGAAAATAACTGTTATCGGCAGATCCTCATTTGTTGTAGGTAGTTACTTTGGTTGCATAAAATTAGGCGTCTTTCAGGAGACATTTTGTCATGTAAAAGTAGACATAGGAAATTCCCAAGGTTAGTAGAGAGAGTAGGTTGCCTCGTAACTTTAGAGAGACGCGTCATCGAGAATCCGGAAGTCCCATTTGATTGGTGTTTAAATTTTCGTTGACTTTGACAGTTATATTTGAACTGTGTAAGTACTTAATTGTCAGACAGTGCTGAAGACTCTTTACGAATACTTATTATAATTCGATTGAATACTTACTGTTGGATACTTAAGTATCAATATAGGGTATTAGATGCCGGATGGAAATCTTTGTGACGTTGTTATATGCAATAGCAGCTCCAACAAATCGAAAGCAAATGGATCGCAGATTCAGTTTTTTGCTTTTCCAAAAGGTAATTCCTGTATTACAAAAATAATGGGATATAAAGTGCAATGGAAAGGGGAACCTGAACCCCGTATGCAATAGACTGTGCATTTCCCGGCCGAAGACTATGAAGATGAAATGTAAGCTATTTTGAATAAAGTGTGTTTTCGCCAGCATGTTTCTTTCTATGCAATACAAGAACTTTTCAGCACATCCATGTAAAGTAGGTACCATTTCGATCCATTTTGCATTTTTTGAACTTGCTCTGTTGTTGTTGCGTTAATAATTAATTTTTATGATGTGGACAAAATGGGATTCTGGGTGACGTCATTCGCGTATTTTAATACTGGACATTTATTGGCTGAAAGTTACGGGGCAACCTACTTTCTCTATTAACCTTGGGAAATTCCTATAGGAAATCCCTATGCCTACTTTTTATACATGAATATTACTGTATACATATGTTGGGTGGGGTTTTTCATTTTCGTAAGTATATCTGTCGTTTAGGTACCATGGGGTTGGTTCTGTATCACGATGCTTGTTTACTGTTGGATAGCAACAGGATAAATATGAACGTGAGATATAAAACTTGTCAGTGTATTGAACCATTTTCATTATAGTAAATATTAATTGTGTATATTAAAGCCTATAATTATTGTTCACCCGTACTACAGGCAAGTATACAACAAATTGGCGACGAGGATTATTGGTGTAGCACTTCGCATTACAGTTGCAGATATTTTTTTCGAATTAAATTTACACGAAAGAAAACATGGCATCGGAAAAAGTTTATGAAGCATTAGTGGATCTCTTGCATCAACAAGATCGTAGACTTCAACTGTTGGAGCACACATTGAAGGAAACCGTATCTACCAATCCATCATCAGTGTCCAACAGTAGTGAATTGATCATCGAGGCTTTGGCAAACAGCATAAAGGAATTTTCATACGATCCAGAAGACCACAACACGTTTGACAAGTGGTACAATCGATATGAAGACACCTTTATCGCAGCCAAGACTCAAATCAATGAGGATGCACAAATCAGACTTCTGTTGCGGAAACTCGATCATCCATCTCATACGAAATATGTCAACTATATACTGCCCCGTACAGTGAAAGATTTCAACTTCGAAGAGACCGTGAAGAAACTCAAGGCGATATTATGTCCACAGACATCATTTTTCAACCGACGTTTCAATTGTCTTCAAATGAAGAAGAAAGATTCAGACGATTTCGTAACATATGCAGGGAAAGTGAATCGAAACATAGAAGACTTCATTTTCTCCGAGCTGGGTGTCGAACAATTTAAATGCTTAATCTTTATATCAGGACTTCAATCACACAAGGACAGTGACATCCGTGCTAGATTATTACGTAGATTGGATACTCACACTACCGAAAATCCTATTGAGCTACATCATTTGGTTCAGGAGTGCCAGAAGATGATCGCATTGAAACAAGATACGGCACTGGTAGAAAACAAAAATCCAGTTGTCTCTAAGGTAGAATACAAGAAACATCCGCATCCACGTAATAACAATAAGCAACCAACTGCGACGGATTTACCGAAATATCCATGTTGGAAATGTGGTGGAATGCATTTTGTGAAATCGTGTGAATTTATCAAACACACATGCACCGATTGTAAGGGTGTAGGCCATAAGGAAGGTTATTGCAAGAGCGGTAAACAGAACAATTCTCATCAGGGGTATAAATCGAATCCCAAAGCAGGGAAAGGCAAATCTGTCGCTCAAACCAAACACGTAAGCATTCCCAATGTTCATAAAGTGAATTTCCAACATAAAAGAAAGTATGCTACCGTACATATTAATGGTAAAATGACGAAGCTTCAATTGGATACCGCATCAGATATCACCATTATATCATCAGATATTTGGAAACAAATTGATGTACCAAAACTGAACACACGTCATTTCAAGCGAAAAATGCATCAGGAGATCCTCTAGAGATAATTGGCAGTTTCTATTGTGACATAACTCTCAACGAGATCACAAAGAAAGGCAAATGCTATGTCACTTCTATTCCTGAACTCAATTTGCTTGGTATCGATTGGATGGATTTATTCGATCTCTGGTCTCAGCCATTAAATGCTGTATGCAGTGCGGTAACAACAGATGAGGAAGTTCCTCATGAGTATATCAACATATTGGCTGAACAGTTCCCAGACGTATTTTCAAAGCAGCTTGGCCTCTGCACAAAAACCAAAGTTAAATTACATGTCCTGCCAGGAACAAAGCCAACTTACATATCTAAACGACCTGTATCTTATTCAGCATTGCCATTAGTAGATCAGGAATTAAAACGTTTAGAAGAAATGAACATCATTGAAAAGGTGGAATATTCACTCTGGGCGACACCGATTGTCGTTGTACACAAATCAAATGGAAAAATCCGAATATGTGCAGATTATTCCACGGGCTTAAATACAGCACTCCAACCTAATAGTCATCCACTACCACTTCCAGAAGACATATTCGCATCATTAACCGGAAACAAATATTTCTCCGTTATTGATTGTCGGAAGCGTATTTTCAACTGGCTGTAGATGAAGAATCGCAAGAACTTCTGACCATTAATACACATCGCGGCCTATACAAATTTAAAAGGTTACCTTTTGGAGTCAAAACAGCGCCTGGTGTTTTTCAAAATATTATTGACGCAATGATTGGTGATTTACCATTCGTCCAATCATATTTAGACGATTTAATTATCTTCAGTAAAAATGTTACTGACCATAAATATCATCTAACAAAAATAATGAGCAGAATCCAACAATATGGATTCACTCTTCAAACACAGAAGTGTCAATTGTTCACATCGGAAGTAAAATTTCTAGGTCAAATTATCAGTGAACACGGTTTGAAACCAGACCCCAATAAGATTGACTGCATCAGAAGAATGCCTATACCTACCAACATCAGTGAGCTACGTTCATTTCTGGGTGCTATAAATTTTTATGGTAAATTTATTCATAAAATGAGCCAACTCAGAGGCCCACTTGACGTTCTACTCAAGAAGAACACTACATGGTATTGGACTCCGGATCAACAATCGGCATTCGATAAACTGAAGGAAGTATTACAGAGTGATCTTCTACTCACTCACTATGATCCGTTACTTCCAATAATAGTTGCAGCAGATGCCAGCAATCAAGGGATTGGTGCTGTGATTATGCACGAACTCCCCAACAAGAGTCGAAAAGCAATATTTCATTCTTCTCGTACACTGACAGAAACTGAGAAGAAATACAGCCAAATTGAAAAAGAAGCACTTGGTCTCATTTATGCAGTTACCAAATTTCACAAATACATATTTGGTCGTCATTTCACATTGGAGACTGATCACAAGCCGCTTCTACATATCTTTGGAAATAAGAAGGGTATACCGATCTACACTGCAAATAGATTACAGAGATGGGCGTGTACGTTACTTCTTTACGATTTCGACATAACATACATTAATACTGATTCATTTGGCTATGCAGATTTTTTATCACGACTCATCGATTCTCAACCAAGATCTGAAGAAGATTCCGTCATCGCTTCAGTATACACAGAAATCGTTATCAACAGCATTCAGACGAATACTGTCACTTACCTTCCAGTGTTATTCAATGAAATCGAACAGGAATCCAAAAATGATTCTAATATCACGACAGTCATTGAATACATGAGTTCGGGCTGGCCATCTAACAAGAAGGAAATTAGTACTGACCTTCTACCATTTTTTAATAGGAGAGACGAATTATCCGTAGTTCGTAACACCTTAATGCTTGGAGAAAGAGTGGTGATTCCTACTTCACTCAGGACCAGAGTCTTGAAACACATTCACAAGGGTCATCCAGGAATAGAACGATCCAAAGCACTAGCCCGCAGTTACGTTTATTATCCAGGAATTGATAAGGATATAGAGAGGTTAGTTAAAGAATGTACTAAGTGCATGGAGACCCGTACATTACCTCATAAGACTAATCTCAAATCATGGCCTGTTCCACAAAATGTATGGGAACGTATACATATAGATTATGCAGGACCACTGCATGACAAAATTTTCTTTCTCATCGTGGACGCTAAAAGTAAATGGCCTGAAATATTCATTCCTTCAAATTCCACTACTACAAGTACTATTACATGTATGAAAGATGCATTTTCGAGATTTGGAATACCAAAAACGGTAGTTTCAGACAATGGATCGCAGTTCAGCAGCCATCAGTTCCAAGAATTTTGCAAATTACATGGCATTGAACACATAAAGACGCCTGCTTATCATCCACAATGCAACGGTTAGGCTGAGAGATTCGTATATACTTTTAAAAGAGCGATCAAACGTATTAATGATGGAGAGGGGGTCGTAAATGCTTTAAACACCTTCTTAACCACTTACCGCTACATTCCAAATAAAACACTCGATGGAAAATCACCCGCCGAACTTATGTTGGGACGAAAATCAAGGAACATATTGGACCTCATGAAATACTCAAACACATGTGGTATAAAGGATCAACATAAGATTGAACAAGAAAGGCAATTTAACAAGCGACATGGAGCTAAATCGCGCTCATTCGCTAAAGGTGAATTTGTATATGTGAAACGTCATATTGGTAATCATTGGAGATGGTATCCAGGTACGATCGTTGAACAGATCGGTTCCGTTTTGTACAACGTCTCGCTTGATGGTGAATGGAATCAACCACAAGTCCGGGTTCATACAAATCAACTGATTCATCGATCATCGACAAAAGATAGCCCACCAGATGACGTTCACTCCAAACTTCCATTGGATATTCTACTCGAGGAATTCGATAATATACCCGAACCAGAACAAGAAACATTTCTTACACCAGTATCACCAATTAGGGATGTTTCTGAAAATGTTAACCCTTCTATTATCATGCCACGTCCAGTAGCCACTGTACCCAGACCAACTAGAATTCGTGAAGCACCAGGGTATCTCAGCGACTATGTGCTTTTCTAAAAAAAGGGGGTGTTGGATAGCAACAGGATAAATAGGAACGTGAGATATAAAACTTGTCAGTGTATTGAACCATTTTCATTATAGTAAATATTAATTGTGTATATCAAAGCCTATAATTATTGTTCACCCGTACTACAGGCAAGTATACAACATTTACATCAGACTGAATGCATCCCATTTATAATAGATTTGCGCTCTGATCAACAATTGGCTCCAAATAATTAGTTCCGTTCTTATATGTATAAGTATATATTTATTTAAGATGCAAAAGTTGACGTGGAATTTATTCTAAATTTGACACCCAGGTCACAAAATATACAATTCTGCAGACTCAGTCGGGGAAAGTCACAGTAAGATATCCGTACACTTTATCAAACACTACAATCATAATTGCACCTCCTGGTCCCAATCGAAGAACTTTCGGTAGAAGACCCTTATATAAAGCGCCAAATCTAGAACAAATGAATCATTGAATGCTACTTATTGACCTTTCCCACCCTTCTTCTTTATAAACTATCGCAAGCGTTCCAAACAGGCTTTTGTATTTAACTTGACCAGGAACTGGTTGAGGACCCTGAATTCTAGACTTCGCCACATCAAAGGGTATATTGGCTATTGATCCTATTACTCCAGAAATGAATCCACAGCCTACTGTCTTAAGAAATTCTCCTGTGGGATCCTTAAATCTTTTGTTATACGGACGTGGTAAAAAATGTGAAATACCTTCGCGGGCGGCAATACGGCTTTGAGATTGTTGTAAATGCCGAAATAAAATAAATTAAATAATCCATGTCTCCATATCGTTGCCGAAAGACCCTTGTTTAAGCCCTTTAATCCAAGACCGTGTTGTTTAACAATTTCCTTGGTAGTTGCCCACGTGCCTTTCGTTTCCTTGCCTGAACCTCGGCTGGCTTGCAGGGTTACTTTGACTACCTCAAATGGGTTTGCTACGAACGCTTCCGTTATACCACAAAGTGTACCTGCCATAACAAAAGTCTAAAAAGTGGTTGGCATTATGCGACAGTTCGAAATTAAAATACATACCAAAGGTGTGGCTTTTCCGTCGAACATAAGCAGTCTTTTGTACTGCTCAAAGCTCACAAACTAGCAACGAAGCGTTAAATTCTGTACGGACAATTTTAATTTACCTTTAGCGCTCTTTTTGGCGTTTCCGCCATGATTGGAGGAATGATCCCTTTCCAAAATGAACCCAATCCTTCGTGTTTGTACATTTTCTTCACACAGTCTACGATGCCAGTGTAATAAGTAGGATCATTTGGATTCGCATTGGGCTTAACGGTTTGAATTTGGAGTCGCGTTTTAATAAGATCTAAAGGGTGCATTATGCATACCTCCGTAAACCCTGTGGAGATAATTAGGTTCGCAATTGAAAGAGGCGACGCTTACCGGCACTTCCTCCGGCCGCGGTTTGTAACGCGGCCTGTTTAAGAACTTTTTTCGACATTGTAATTTTGATGTAAATCTTAAAATTTAGAAAAATTGTGACAATGAGTAGCATCAATTTTCATTTTGACGTTATGAAAATAGACAAAGCAAAATCAGAGCTTACTAAAGTGCATGGGTTGGTAATGTGAAATGGAATGGAAGGGTTTCCAAAATATTTTCTACTGGGATGTGCACCGGTAGCGCTGCTTTACTTTAGCATTAGATTGGACATGAAAACTGGGCAAGCAGACCAGACGTCGTGAAGAGTTCAGGGATTGTTGCGTTAAATCTTCACAGTCTAATTAATCCAACTAATTACCGAGTGTAATAGCATTGAGTAATAAATCTGAATATTATGCAATGGTAATAGCAATTATCCGTAAATAGGTAGTAAATATGCACATTGGCTTCTATATTTTTTGGGAATAGTGGGACATTGTAAGGGAAGTGTTTCGTAGTCAAATAATTTTTTTATTCTTATAGGAAGGTACTGCATTGCGGTAAGAAATTACCCCTCACTTTCTTGACAAATAAAACCTCGATGATGACGATCGGTCTATCTCTAGGTACTCTCGTTTCTGGTTAAACAACTGAATCGATTGGAACCAAATTTGGTACACCTATTATTACACACAGAATGATGAGTTGGACAGAAACACGCATGCGCAAGTGTGTCAAAGTAACAAAAAACTGTCACTTTTTGACATTTTCCATATTATGGTTTAACTATTGCACCGAATTGAACCTAATTTAGTCCATAAGGTTCTATACACATTTTACTAGGACTGAAATAAATTTAGGTAGACAAATCGCGATTAAGCAAATAATTATAAATCATAATTTTCTGATGTCACAAATAATTATCTTAATGTACAAGTCGTGAATTACATGTAGGTATTTTTGGTAACCACGTATTTTACTAAAACATCAAGTCATTCCTGTATTGCTTAGTTTGAAAATTTACTGATAAATAAATATGTGAATGAATAAATAAATAAATAAGTAAATACATAAATAAATAAATAAATAAATAATGTACCTAATTAGAGAATGACTGAAATCGCCCTTTCGCGCTATTTCTCTCGGCGGCGCGCTAGATTTCAATATTGTTTCCATGGAAACAACGGGACGGGGGTTATTTTTGACGTCTAAATTAAATTTAGAATTTTCAGATTTTATAAACATTTAGGTATATGGCTTCTGCTATAAAATAAGGTTTTGTATATTATACACGACGATTAAGGGAAACTAACATTTCGGGAAAGTTAGTTCACTCGATGGTTAAAGCATCCCTTTATCGTATTGTATAAGAAAAAAAACTACTTTTTTGCTTCGCGGTTTATTGGAAGGAAGGTCTTCGGAAGAAGGACGACTCTAAGGATTTGCGATATTCCCGCTACGTTATCTCTCGCGAGACTACCCTTATGTCGCGGGGTGGATCTTGCGACCTAATTGACCACCCCTCGAATTCATTTTCCACGGAACCAAATCCACCGCCAGATGGCAATCGTCTATACACATCAGAATTTGATTTTGTGATTACAAGTATTATTTCTATGTAACATCATTTAATTATTATTGGTGAAGGAACAAATTTTCCATAAAATGGAGCAGTGAGGTGGAATAGTTACCACGGTACCTATTCGTATATTAAACATTTCATTGTGTTGTTAAAAGTTAACTCTTTGCTGTTCGAGGTGATGGTGTAAGTCGACCAGCTCAGTTTTCAATTTATGGAAAATATCCGACAGCCTGTAAAGGATGAAGATAATTAACAGATCAAATCATTGTCAAACTCACCCTCTTTCGTAATTTTGAGCTGACCTGTCGTCGTTACATGTCTGAGTGCTTCGTGTATCTTGTCCCGCTTGAGTAGAGGCTGTTATTTTGTCCGGCTCCTTAAATTAAAAAGGAGTTTTACTAAACTGAGGGCTGAGGCTAAACATCATTATTGCAAATGAGGGAGGCGGGTTAGAGACAAACTCCAAAGTCATTATGAGCTTTTATTGGAACTCTATAAAAATAGTTAACAATTGAAAATTCATTTCAATAGCGCCTTGAGAAGCTGTAACTGTTGAAATCTCCTTGCCAAGCGTCAAAAGGATGCAGCACGACCTTTTTTGGTTCACTACCCTCAATCGAATAATCAAAAGGGACTGGCCAAGGTTTTGATGCACTTTCATTATCAACTAAGTGATGCAGTTGGTTGGGGAGGATATTTGAGTACAACGGATGCGAGATTGTGCTTGCGCTTCTTGCTTCACCTCTACTCTGTGTTCGGAACTCGACATTCTTCCGCGCTTTTGGTCGTTGGAGCGCGTTGAGGTTTAATTTGAGCCGAAAATTTTGATTGTCAGCGTCGTCTTTCACTTTGGCCAGGCCCGAATCGGACGGCGGACACTCGTCCGAACATTTCTGAACATCGTACTCCTCATATCGCGATATCTCGTCGGGGAAATTTTGCGAAAACTTCACGGGCGGCTTTTCCTCCGGAGCAATGTATTTATATCCTTGTTGGTCCGTCATTGGGTACGCTTTCCAAAATTTGCTGACGGATTCTTTAAATTTATCTTTCGCGGTGTCGCTATTGCGCGATGGTTCTACGGCGATTTGTCTCGTGCTCTCGGAATAGTCCTGATAGTGTTCAGGATCATTGTAGTCTTCTTTTAGGTCGTTCTTCTCTTCGACTTCGTAGTCGTAATCGCTGTACGATTGTGGGCGCTCGTTTTCATTGTGGACGTTTAACGACTTGGGGGGAACTGGGAGTTTTGGGGGAGAGGGCGCTGGGGGTGGAGGTGGCGGTGGAGACGGTTTCGGTGGCGCAGCAGGTGGAGGGGGTGGTGGTGGAGCAGGAGCAGGAGGAGGAACTGGTGCTGGCGTTGTTACTAGACCTTTATTCCAGCTGAAGTTAATACTAAAACTTTTTTGAAACCTTGGAGGTGGGGCAGGTGCTGCTGCAGGTTTGGGTGGTGCTTGTGGTGGAGGTGCAGCCGGAACAGGCTTTGGTGATGGTGGTGGTGGAGGAGGTGCGGCGGGTGCAGGTTTTGGTGCTGGGGGTGAGGGTTTGGCGGGTGGTGGAGGAGGATTTGGAGCGGCCGGAGCAGGTGGTACTTTCGGCGCCACAGGTGGTGGTGCTGCCGATGTAGCTGCTGGGAGCACAGAAGGACGCTTTAGTAAATCATATCCAAATGCATCAGCAACACTACGTAACACAATTTCGATTGTTCGTTTGTCACGACCTACCACATTAGCACTTGCGGATCTAAATTCACTTGACACTAGAATTGTGCATATTACTATACAGATAGTTGACGTCATGTCCAAACCATGTCTGCGTATATTGTTACTATCTGCCCGAAACTACGGACTGAAACCGATATCGGATTAAATACTACTAAACTGCAGTATTTTGCCATATAACAATTTCACTTGTTACAATTGACTTGTTACAGGGAAAGGGTTTTTTTCTGTTTAGTTTTGCGCGAAAGTCGATTATATAATCCATTATCCTAACGAATGAACAAGAACGAATAGAACTCCAACCAATCTACAAAAGACTGCAGTAATCGTATGCAATACTTGTAAGAAGTTTCAATTGCAAAATAAAGTACCTATAATCTTTTTGCGTGAAAAATAAATAGAACACCACGATTTAGAGTGATTTCTTTACCGCTTTTAGCACAGTTCAATAATCAATGAGTCAACCAAAAACTTCATATGCGAATTAAATTCTTTCAATTACTTTCTTTTTTTATTATGTTCATCACGTAGATACGCACAATATCAATAAACTTATACGGATACTGGAAGCCTTAATTTCTATTACGAAATTTTAATTTCCCTTTTCAATTGACATTCAGGGCAACGCTTATCGGATCCGATCAAAGAGACTTGCAAATTTCTCTAACATTCGACATTATACCTATGCTGTAGGTACATACTGAAGGCATCGAGAAAATCTCATTGTCGTCGGTATTGTACCTTGGACAAATCAACATCAAATGTCATTAACCTCGATATGAATATCAACAACTTTTCCCCAAACTAAAAATAAATAAATTCACCTCACCTTGGCCATAAATCTTTTCGTGGTTCAAGTATTATTAAACTTGCATTCATTCATAAATTAATATTTTAGTTATACATTTAAATATGGGTTAATAAAACGGTAATTCATGCAAGATACGATTATACTCCAAGCTGGGAATGCGCATTTTCCCCTGTTTGGACCATGGTGTAAACCCAGAGAATCCAAATTTGAATTTTTCTGGCTCTATAAAATCAAACAGGAAACAATGAAAACTGCAGACAAATGCATAAATAAATCAATAAATAAAATAGTGGAAAAACGAGCAGTTTGTGGTTTATAGGTAGGTACTGGTTCGACAGTCCAATTTTGGCGAGTTTTCCAGCATTTTGAGATGATTTTGAATGTAATGTTTATGTAATGATAATTTCTCATCAACAAAAAACCTATTGTGATTCGTTTTCGAGTGATTGGCGCTAGTTTTTTTTTAAATATATGTACGCCAATATCGAAAATGAGAGAACTCTACACACATTTGCTAATTTAACCATATTTCTGCCTCTTCTAATAACTCAGATAAACGATGATGAGGCTCGAAATATGGAGACACTCAGTGGCGGATCTAAACATATTTTTCGGGGGGGGGGGGGGGGCGGTTCTTTTGTGGATTTTCAAAATTAAAAAATAAACGCTAGGTTATTTTTTTATTTATAGAGAGTTCATGCGCGAAAATTGTACGCCGCTTTAGGGTAAAAGGTTGTCCATGCCAAACCCCCAATCGGGGAAAATGATGTAAATTTTTTATATGGACGGGGGCTGGACGCGCCTGGAGACACTCTATAACTTTGCACGTCAGAATCCCAACTTTACTTACAGATTGTTTTTGGTGTATATTTCTTTATGTCCTGTAGGTCTTTATAATTTGAACTAGCACAGATACCAGGCAAATGAAAAACATCATTGCCGGTAAGCAGATTTACTTCTTTTAATTAACATTTTGAAATCAGTTTTTTGTTTCGTTTACAATCGAAACTAAATTACAAATGCTTATAAGTAAAATTGAATAAAGCTCGAAATAGTGTCTTCCTACCATCCGATGAGTTCGAAATTTAAATAGTACATCCTGTATATTTTTTCCTTTTTGGATTTTATAGGGCAATGTCACATTTAATATATTGTTTATACGAGGTTGCTTAAAACATTAATTACTTTTTTTTAATATATGCATCGATTAAAAATTGTTTTAATCAATGATCTAGGTGACCATGAATAGACCAAAATCGTTATTAATTGACTCTACTGTTGTGTACAATGGAATGTGGTCTACACTACACCGCTTACAAAACACCTGTCCAGCTATAGCTCAAACAAATCAAAATTTGAAACTTAGAATTTTTATAATTTCAAAGGTCTTGTTCCATGTGGCGGTGACCATGGAGAGTAGGTCAAGGGGCAAGGACATTAGCTTTCAAGGTCATCGGAGGTCAATCACCCCGGTTTTGAGTTATATTTCACTATTAAGTTCACCACAGGTCAACGATCCCATATTTTGCAGTGTCACTTTTTACTCACAAGGTCATCGGTTAATGACCACATTTTTTTCAATGAACCTATTTTTATGGTGTCATACTTCAGTTCAATGACCTCCAATTTTTGGGGTGTTAGATTCTATTGTCGAATTTTTGTGGTGTCGTTTCAAGGTTGCCACAGTTTACTCCCATGGTCAGTAATGAAAATATATGTTGTTTTCAATGCCATCGAAGGCCAATGACCTCATTTTGTCGTATCTTTTATTTCATTTTCAAAGTCAATGGCCCAATTTTATTGGTGTCATTTCATTTTCAACGTTATTAAAGTTCAATGACATCCAATTTTTGGGTTGTAATATTCCATGTTCAAGGTCATCAGAAATTATGTAGTTCAATTAAATGAACAAATGTAACTAAACACTACGCAATTACAAACAAATCTGAAAGGAAAAATAACACTACAGCGGTAAAAATTTAAATGAAATAAACCAATTTTGTGTTTATGTAAATAATCAAAATTGACTCTATTAAATTGAAATATTGCTAATATACAGGATGTCCCGTCATTACTTATAAGTATTTAAGACGAAATAACGTCTGCACAATACGACATTACTACAAAAATCCATTTTGCCTAATTTATCCAACACCGATTTAAAAAAATAAGTTTCTTTCCTACATCGCCAGTAGATGTATCTCGTCTAGACGATCTTTCCGCTATTTGAGAGTACCCTCCACCGACACTCAGTTCTGCAGATATTTGCACTGAAAGTTTGACGTCACTAATAGATATATTATTAGCGCATTTCCACAAAAATAAAAAAAATTCACTATTGTGGCCACTTTGTCCGTCCGTCCGGCTGTCCGTCCGTCCGCCCGTCAATCCGCTCGTTCGTTGAGACGCTACTAGTTCTTTATCTTAAGAGCTATTGTTCTACTTTTTTCGCTATTTGGTTTGATATGGTGTCGAGGCTTGCACCAAGGAAGGAATTTTTTCTGCGTTTATTGCTAAAAAAGTTATTGCAAAAAAACCAACAAACCGTTTTTTACATGTTCCATAATTTTACACTTTTGCCGTTTATTAACGATCCTAGAGATCATTTATAATTTTGTATTGCTGTCTGTTGGTATGTCCGTCTGTTCCTTTGTCTGTCTGTCCCTCTATCTGTGCGTGTGAACGATCACTTTGGTTAGAAATGTCCGATCGCTTTTACATCTCCGTTAGTTATGAACTGAATTGCATGAAATTCAATATGGGCATAATAGCTTTAGCCATATAATACGCAATGCCAAAAGTTGAGTCGAATCGATTCAAAATTCACAGTGCCCTTTTCGCATCTCGACCATTTATAAACCGAATTGCAAACTTTTTTATTTATAAAAGTATTTGAATGAAATTTGATACATAGGAATTTGGAATAAATGAAAATCTAATGCCAGTTTCAAAATTTGGTTTTGCGCATGCGCAGTGGCAACTTTTTTATTTATGGAAGAATTTAAACAAAATTTGATACATAGGCACTTGGAATAAAGGAAAATCTAACGTCAGTTTCAAAATTTGGTTATGCGCATGCGCAGTTCTAACTTTCTTATTTAGAAAATCATTGAAATGAAATTCTTCTTATAAACTGAAATTGAAGTAGCACGTCAAAAATGGATTGCACATTTGCAACGCTATCTTTCATATTTGTGGCCGGATTTTTACCATTTTAACAGAAGTTGCATCTTTCAAATGGGAAATGAATGCAATGAAATGCGCTTTTTGTAAATTGTTTACGATTACTTTTTAACTTGTTGGTCCTGATGGTCCACTTGCCCTTCATGAATATTCTCTTCCGACACTTAGTTTTCAAAGTATTCGCTTCGAATTCACCAATTATGTCATATATATCTCGTCCAGACGATTCATTTTGCCTTTGAGAGTACTTTCTCCCAACAAACCGCTTTCGAGATATCCACTTTTAAAGTTTTGACATTACCAATGGATATATTTTTTCCAGACATCCCAATCGCCCTTTGTGTGTACCCTTCTCCGACACTATATTCTGCAGATATTTGTACTGAAAATGTTGACATCACAGATATGTCTCGTCCTGATTTTCCACTTGCCCTTTATGAGTACCCTCTTTCGACACTTCGTTTTCAAAATATGTTCTTCGAGTTCACGAATAGATATGTATCGTCCATACAATTCATTTTGCATTTGAGAGTACTTTCCTCCGCAAACCGTTTTCGAGAAATTCGCTCTTAAAGGTTTGACGTCGCCAATGGATATATTTCTTTCAGACGTCCCAATCGTCTATTGTCTATTTATTTATTTATTGTCCCTGCAGAAGGTCTTAAGTTGTTCTATACTACTCCGGTATTTACCTTGAGAATTAGGAACACTGCAGGAAAACCTAATTCATAGTAGCAGGCAGATTGTTTGAAACTGATCTAAGGAAATTTCTATTGCTGCACAGATGCTCTGGCACTGACTCACATAGTCGGCCAGCAATGGATATAGTTCTTCCAGACGTCCCAATCGACCTTTGTGAGTACACTCCCACGAAAATCTGTTCTTGAGATATAAGGAATTATATCCGATCACAAGAAGAGGTTGAGCAGGAGGACAATAGTTGGTAGAATACCATAAAAGGTAGAACGTGTGTTTACGACCCCTCCCCCGCTCATTTTCAAAAGTTTTACTTGGCACCATGCGCCTGGCGTATGCAAAATCTGATACTAATTGGTTGTCGCATATAAAAGTTATACACGTTTTCCTTTCAAAAACAGCATCTGGATTTTTAATCTTGAATTTTTATGCAGAAACAAAGATAGGTACCACAAAAAAACATATTCAGGATGCGCGTGATTGTTAAATTTTGTCTTTTTCCACAACTGAAGTTGTAACCAATCGTAGAAATAAGACTGTGGTTCAAAAATCAAAATACCGCCTCAGATTAATTTTTAAAACGATTTTACTTAACCTATCTATTTAAATGAGGTGAATCGTTTGTTTACCAATTAATTGAGATCGTAAGCGTACATAAACGTTTATGTGCAACACTTTCTTTGACATTGATACGGATTCAATTAAATAAAAGTAGTATGCATCAATTAGTATGCAACGCTCGAATATAGAAAACTACCGATATAAAAGCCATAAGAAAGTCGGGGCATTGTTTCTTTGTTTGCGTGTCGGAGTATGGTGTTTTTGTAGTTTAATTCAGTTAGTGCTATATTGAACAGGGTGTTAGCAATGAAAAAATTGGTGAGATTATAGGAGCGAGTGATAAAATCCAGTGTTATTGTTTATATCATTGCAGGTATGGTTTCTGCTTATTTTCATTTGTGCACAAGTGATAACTGCCAAACGGCGACACTTACAAGACCAATTACAATATCAGCTGGATCCACTAAACGAACAAACTGAGTATGAAACAAAAGACCAAGGGAAACGAACATTGTTTCCGGCACGTCATTACATGTTTGGGAAGCATGTTGCTATCGATTCCAACGGACGCAAGTATTTGTTAGGATATAGTCCACTAAATGTAAAATACGCACCACTCTTCAAACCGGTTGCTGTTTTCAGACAGCCAATTCATGACAATAACCTGATATGGAAACCGCTAAGGCAGTATTTACCCCCAGCAATACAAGCACCTAGTACAATAAACCTTGACACCAATGGATGGAAACCGATAATGCCAGTTGCAAATCCGATAGTCCACATTCCAAAACCGCTTCTTGTACCACAACAAATTCAACCCGCGGTCGAAAATGCTGTTATTGCGAAACCGGTATTCGCAGGAGTACAACCTCCGCTTCCTGTGCACCATACTCCAGTTGATCTAAAACCTTTGCTACAACCGCTACATAACTACTACTTCTTTCAAACTCCGGTTGTAAAACCACTCCTGGTACCCCAGCAACAACTGCTTCAAATTTCCAGGCCGGAATTAGGAGTGCTACCGTTAGGGTCCGCTTTTCAGGTATCACCACATCATCACATCCATCCACCGCAAATTCATCATTTAGGCCCTCTCGCGCATCCATCAACTCCAATACACGCTCCACCTCCACCACATAACCAAATTTTGTTCCATCCACAACACACCATCGATCACTTACACAATCCCCAAATTGTCCACAATCATCATCATCCTTTATTCATACCTTCCCACCAGCAACACGTGCCCGAACTAAATCATCTCCACCCTTCAATTCCGGAACACCACCAACCGTTACCGCAACTCCACCATTCCGTTTCATTCCCAGTCAACTTCCCACCAATTTCCGTTCACGGGAATCCACCCAATTACTCGCCGCCGCTCTTTACGCACAACCATCATCCAGATCAAGTTATATACGGCAAGCACTTTCCGATAGCAAATCAGATTCCACAACTCCCCCACCTGCCACACGCAGATAATCCTCATCCGGTACCGGACGACCAGCCCAAAATTTTATTCAACCCCGCTATCCAGCCTGGACAGAGCGATTTACAGATACCAGCACATTTGCCCACGCATCCCCAATTTATTCAGCATATTAACGGACACGCTATTCACCCCCAGTACCTTCCCATACCGGAACCGGATAAAATAATCAAGCCGGGCGTTGATTTGGAACCGCCGTTTACGTAGATGCACATTTAGTTATGTGTTACAGAGATAGTGTGCCATTTGTGATATAATTATTGTTATCGATACTGTATTTTTAATAAAGAAGTTGTTAGGAAGCGTTGTATTATTCGTATTTATTGGTTCAAACTACGTTGACTCACACCATACAGGATTAATTAATTTGGGCAAAACTTTTAATATCAACATCGCGGAATATTGGCGTTTTATTCGAGCGCGTAAAAATAAAACACTATCGCGTTTTATTTGTGCGAATTTGGAGCTGTTTCGAAATACTTTGGACTTTTTGCTTGACATTCATCAGAAAGTTAACATTACGAGAGTGGTACTAAAAATCAACGGTATAGTAGGAGAGCCCACGGCACTAAACGTAGTTCGATAAGACTACTAGATGAAATATATATAATTAGTCGCGTTATTAACAAGAAATGGCGATGCTGCAATGCAATCTACCCCACTAAAAAAATGTTTTCTTAATTAAAATATCCGATTTCTAGTATAAGACTACCAAGTTTCGTTTGTTCCTCGAAACAGGGGAGGGGTACTAGAATACTGGAATTTTCTGCAATAAGTATTCTATACCTTGAAGGTGCGTCAGACGGCCATCAAATTTCGCTGTCTTTAAGGAGTTAAAGCCCCCACCCCCCCATGAATGATTTCCTGAGATACTGTTTTTGAAAATAAAACATGAGACAACCAATTGGTCTCAGATTAGTGGCCCCAAGTAAAACTTTTGAAAAAGGGGGAGGGGAGGGGGGGTATAGAAATTAATTTTATCTTGGTATTCTAATTAAAGGTCTCAACAAAAGAACTGTTATTTCCAACTACGGCCCTTTCTGACTTCTTGAGGGGGGGGGGGTGAAGAAATTAATGTCTACCAACCACATAGTCCTTCTCCTCGACCCGTATCGCGATCGAATATAATTCCTTATATCGCAAAAGCATATTATCAGAGGCTACTCACAAAGGGCGATTGGGATGTCTGGAAGAAATAAATCCATTGGTGATGTCAATATTTTAAGAGCGAATTTGTCGACCACGGTTTATCGAAGGAAAGTACCCACAAAGGCAAAATGAATCGTCTGGACGAGCACATCTATTGATGAAATCGAAGCGAATATCTTATGAAAACGAAGGGTCGGAAGAGGGTACTCATAAAGGGTACTCTCAAAGGGCGTAAAGATCGTCTAGACGAGACATATCTACTGGTGCACAAAGAGAAAGTGCAATATTTCGGAGAATTTCTCTAAGGGCTTGATTCTTCTTGCATTATATATCGTAAATTTGGAATACATGCCAGGCGGACTTTAAATGTTTATGTGTAAAGAGCCCTCTCCCCATTAATCATCTACCAAGAAGGAAAACAACCATTTACTAAGCTAATTCAGTTTAAAAAAATGCGCTTTATCTAGACAAGAGTTGTGCACAATTTATACTTGTTTCTTATGTCTTTCGTTACATTTTAAAGTACCTTTCTTTTGTAATCAATCAATGTTTTGTACTAAATATCATTTTTAGGCTATCATCACAAAAGCGTTGATTTTATGGTCGCTTTTGCGGCCATAAAGTTTCACTTTATTGTACGCTTCTGTCAAACTTTACTTATTTGAAACTGATGTGTGAGAAACAGTAATCTGTTTGATACAAAGCGTCTATCTGGTGTAGCCCCATCAAGGATTGGGCCATCCACGTGCGTTTTTTTCATTTTCGGACTTATAGGAATGTTTCACACCATTTTGCATAATCACAATGTTCACATTTAAAATTATAGTTTCACGTTTCAGTCTTTGGTGCTTGCAGACCTTTTTGAAGTGTAGAAGCAAAACATGAGGAAGATGTTATTGCTTACATTATTATACGAAGAATCACCAGCAATTAACACAAGTAGAGTAAATCATTCTAATAATTGTACAGCATGTTAACTATAAGGTCTTGGAAGCCACAGTTACGAAGGACCTATTGCATTTGACATTATTAAAATCTTGTGCAGCGGAGGAAGTTGCGATTGTACTTTTACTCTCAAACGCCTGCTCTTATATCATACCTATATGACTTAGGGTCGCAACGCTTGCAGCTTCCAAAATTTCCTGAACTGTCGCTAATTTTGATTCATTTTGGGTATCTGAACTGTCGCTATCCCCCATTTTGATACGCACAAAACACACGCAAAAATGCTAATTATAATTTATTACATACGACAGGAAATGCTTTGTTTTTAATTGTCTAAGATAACTATGATTTTCAGAAAAAATATGTTTATGAGCAAATTTTTGAATTCTTTTTTGATGATCGCCTAAAAAATGTTGTGTGCACCTTGGCCAAAAGTGATTTGTTAGGCCTCATCTGAATTGCGGCCTCGGCTACCGCCTCGGCCACAAACAGCAGCTTCGGCCAAAAAAGATCACTTTTACGGCCTTGGTACACAAATAACTATTTTTCAATGAATAAGATTATATTAATTATTCCGTTTCCAATTTCCAATTCCAATTTTTCCGCTGTTTTTTAGGTATTTATTATTTCTCTTGGCACGAGGGGGTTTTGCAGGACTGCATTATCGTATTGTCCTACCCCTCCTTTGTTTCGAGGAACAAACGAAACCTGGTAGTCTCATCATACTAGAAATCGGATTTTGTAATTAAGACAATTCAACTCATGTATAAAAAATCGCATAAGCCGCAGTGCAATTGTCACTTTGACAGCGGCAAAAGTTACCTGCAACTTTTCCAGCGACCTGGAATGTCTGTCAATAATTGATTGGTTTGGTGAATTTCTTGTTCGTTAAATTGTCCTGCCGAATTACACTCGAGGTTTGTATTTAAACCGAGTAAATTTGGGTTGTTGCAATTCAAATCTGTTTCCTTTTAGCAATTGGACTCGAAAAACTGTCAACCTAAAAATGCTCCACCTTCGGTGTCGCATTTTTATTAGTTGACAGTTTTTCTCGTGTAATTGCTAGGCAACAGACTTTCATTACCTAAACAACCAAATTTACTCGGTAAAATACAAACCTCTTGTGCAATTATAAGTGAAAAAAAATGTTTAATAGGGTAGGCGATGTTTTTTGCATTGCAGCATCGCCATTTCGTGTTCCCCCTATTAATTACGGACTAATTATGTATATTTCATCTGGTAGTCTTATCGAATTAGGTTTAGTGCCGTGGGCGGCCTGTCCCCATATTCTTACGAGGAGAGGTATCTTTCCGGGGGATGGAGGTGGGGGAGAGGATTAATTGTAACCTAAAGAGGATCTCGTACAAGTCTGATAATGCGAGCATTTTTATTGCCTTGTATAAATTAGTGGTCGGTTATTTTCTGGAATCTTGCAAATTACTTAAAGTAACTTTCGTAGTCATGAAGAAATCGACCTACCAGAAACATTTGTGTGAAAAGATACTGTAATATTTTAATAATAATAATAATGTTTATTTACGCCTAGGGCAATTTACAATATAATATACTATAATAATAAATAATCGTACCTAACAACTACATGTACCTAAGTAGATGACACGAAATAATTAAATTTAAATATTGATATGATTAGTAACGTCATTCAATTAAAAGTATTGTAGTATTGCATTTGAAAATCGGGAGAGATATACTAAATAAATCGATTTTATCATTAAATTTGTTCAATGACTCCAACAATCGATTTCGAGGACTGTTACGAATGTAAAGAGTTCGATTAGGTCTCATGTAAAGAAGCCTCGAAGATCGAACGAATCTTTCAGGAACATTAAAGTAAATGTCAGACAAGATAGTAGGACAGTTTATGTGGCCGTTTAATAACTTAAAGCCGAACTGCAGGGTAAGTAGTGTTCTTCGATTTTCTAACCACATGATATTGAGATATAGTCTTACGTCATTGGTTCTTTCAAACACGATTCCTGCCAAAGAGAGCTTATATTTTAACAATCGAAGAAAATAGGATTGCACTCTTTCCAATCTATCGATATGTGTGGGAAGATAGGGAGACCATATTATACAGCAATAATCAAGATTCGATCGAACTAATGAGTAGTATAGGGTGCGTAATGTGCATGGATTAGAAAAACTTTTGCATTGCCTGTTGATAAACCCAATCATTTTGGTAGTTTTAGATACAATGTTATCATAATGCAATCGAAATGTAAGCTTGGAATCCAAGATCACACCTAAATCACGAACAGAATCCACGCTATCAATCAGCTGACCGTACATATAGTAACTTTGCAAAGATGGAGAGTTCCTTCTGGAAAAACAGATCACGTGACACTTTTCAACATTTAATTTCATGTCATTTTCAACCACCCACTTTTCAAGTCGCACTAAATCAGATTGTAGCAAACTCATGTCTCGAAGGTCTGCAATAGGTCTATATATCTTCAGATCGTCCACAAATAAGACATGTTTAGACACAAACACCGATGATATATGGTTTATAAAAATCAAAAATAGTACTGGACCAATATGGGATCCTTGAGGAACACCCGAACTCACTTCAATTGGATTGGACCACTTATCACTTATCTTCACCTGTGCTTTCCGATTGCATAAGTAGTTCTGGAGCAGAATCAAAGCAGTTCCGCTAACACCATATTTTTTTAGCTTAAATATTAATAAGTCGTGGTTAACTTTATCGAAGGCCTTAGCGAAGTCAGTGTAAACCGCATGAACATCAAGTCCACGGTCCAGTGGGACGAAAATGTCATTGGTGTAGCCGAACAAGTTGGTTTCAGCTGATCTGCCTTTGCTAAATCCGTGTTGGTATTGAGTAATTATAGTCGAAAAAGCATCCGTTAATTGAGGAGCAAGAATCGCCTCCAATAATTTCGGAATAGCAGAGAGAATTGCTATAGGTCTATAATTAGAGATTTCATTCTTAGCACCACTTTTATGTATTGGAACTATCCGAGAATTTTTCCACACTGAAGGAACACATCCACTTTTTAAAATAGACGAGAACAACAGAAACATGGGTAAATAGATAGATTCGGCACAACATTTTAAAAATCTAGGAGCTA